GCGTAGATAAATAATAATCTAGTTTCGAATATAACTGTGAATTTTTTTAAACAGAAAAATTAAATTTTTTAAGATCATATATAAACGTGTTTTTTTTAGTGTATTTAAGAAAATGTGTATTTCACATGACATATAGAATCACTGATTGTGTTAAATATATTTAATGGACCATATATCAGCGATATTTTTGCAATCTTAAAAAAATAAGAAGTTGAAACAAGAGTGTGTTAAAAAATAGTAAAAATGTCGTTAAGTTCAGCCGGAATGAACTTTCTATACCCTACATTCAAAATGTTATTTTAAAATTTATTTAAGAAAATGAAAATCCCAATTACTCAGGATGGAAAACTAGGCTAGTAGCATCAAATGGATAATATTAAGCAAGGCCTTTGTATGGGAGCCATGTACAAAACTAGAAGTTATATTAACAGTTTCACTGGAATGTATTTAAAAATAAATATATCGAGGGTTTCTTTATTTTGAGGTTATGTCAAAAGAGACATCTATATCAAAAATCATATTCGAATATTATATTGACCCTCATTAACCTGAATTGCCAGCCACTTCGTTTGGTTAAAATTCGTATAACATTCTTAAAATATCGGAAATTGAACGAGGAATTATCTATCATATCAATGTGGACTTTATTTAAACCTACATCGAAATAGTTCTGCAACATTTTCTGAAACCTCCAGGAAACTGGAATGCCAAATAACAGTCACTGCTGCTAAAAATTTAAAAATAGCGAGTAATAAGTCGAAACCATTATATGGAAGCTATGTCAATACATGCACATTTATCGAAAATGTTTTAACATATAATTTTTCCCTTCTAGAACCTGGATTTTAGAATCACAGGCACTTCGTTTCGGTAAAATTATGCTAACATTTTTTTAAATAACGAATGTTAAAAGTTTTGAATTTTATAAACAAGGTTTTGCAAAAATGCCTTTAAAAATATGGAAAATGGGGCCGTAACTTTATATGACAACTATGCCAAACTACATGGACTATATCGAAAATGTCCTTAAAAAGATATGTGTATCCTTGATATTTAATTGCAAAACTATTTTTAAAAAAATATTTGATAGTTGATTGAAACAAATATTTAAACCCTTTTTTTAATCTACGCCTAATATAATTTTTTTTTTTTAAATCCTCACCTCAAATAGGCCCATATAAACATATATTTTATGAATCCACGCCAAAAATAGACCCATATAAACATATTTTTAAGGAACTACGCCTCATATAGGTCCATTAGAAAGTATTTTTTTATGAATCCAGGCCTCATATCGACTCTTATATAGACTCTTGGAAAATGCGGCTAATACTTTTAAAAATACCAAAAATGGGCCGTATCTTTATGTGAGAACTATGCCAAAACATGGTCTATATCGAAAATGGCCATTTGTAACCCTTCAAGCACCCAGGCATTTCGTTTGTAAAATGCGGCTAACACCTTCAAAATACCAGAAAATGGAACGGGGATACATTGGAGCTATAAAATTGGGAGCTAACTTGCAGTTACTTTGGTGGGAACATGTAGAGAAAACCTTAAAAATACTGAACATGGGATGGGGACCTATATAAGAACCTGGAATGCCAAATCGCAGTCACTTCGGTGGAAATACTGCTAATGTGGTTGAAATCTTCAAAATGCCGAGAATTGGGCTGTAGCATTGTTATGTGAGATATATACCAAATGTGGCCTAATATTTATAATTGTTTATAGAATGATTTTATATCCAATGAAAACCCAAAATACAAAAAAAAATGCAGCTTCCCAAAATACAGAAAAATCTGAGGTATGGTTATATGGAAGCTACACCGAAAATTGTGGGTCAATATTTATAATTTTTAGTAGGGAAATTTCACACCCCATGATAGTCTAAACATCCAATACCAAATTCTCTTGATAAAAGTATCCAAACTCCCGAAATGTGCGTCATTATTTATAATTTTTGGTAGGATGTTTTTATATACATTGGGAACCCAAAACAGCCACTTTAGTTCATAAACGTATGTACGGTTGTATGGAGGCTACACCGTAACATGGACCAATATTTATAATTTGTAGTAGGAAAATTTCAACACGAATAATATGGTCAACCCGGAAAACGTGGGTTTATATTGATAATTTTCTTATACAATGATATTCTAAAATACCAAATTAAAGTCTCTTTGGTTGTCTGAAAACCTTGAAATTCTGAATATTTTGCGGTACCGCTATTTCAAACCGTAGACCGATATATGCAATTTTCTTTGCCAAACATCCTGGAAGTAGTAGAAATATAAATGCATTATTTTAAAGCTATATCATAAATATTGTGTGATTTCAATGGTCGGACGGACATTGCTAATTCGAAATAGAATTTTAATATGATCAAGAATATATCGTCATTACAAATGCAAACGGACGTAACTACACTTTTACTAATTTTACATGAGAAGCAAAACACACGTTATAAAATCTTTAAAAATGGAGCATGGCTGGAATTTTTTTCACAGTTTAACCGCACTATAGAGCCGTCTTTATTTTTTGAAAAAAAAATTAATTTTTTTGGTTTTTAAAATTAAGTCCGGAGTGACGTGTGTTAAGTTTAGCTGAAATCGGTTCAGATTTTGACATAGCTCCCACGCATATTTTCGTCAGATTGAGTATAAATGGTGCATTAAAGCCCCTATATGTCTTTCGATTTGCACGAAATTTTGCATAGCGTACTGAATTCAGTCTAGAGTGATGTGTGTGAAGTTTCGTGAAAATCGGTTCAGATTTAGATATAGCTCCCATATACAGTTTCGACCGATTTTATATAAATGTTGCACTAAAGACATTAAATATTTCTCCGATAGCGATAAAACTTTTCACAGGGTACTTTTCCACCCAGTGGGAAACAAAAATACCTAATTATAGCTGATTAGTTAAAAGAAATGAAGAAAAGACTTAAATTTGGGGTACTGCTATATCGTCGTAAAACTTTAGCCGATATATCTCATTTTCAATATCAAAAATCCCAGAAGTAAGATTTATATAAGTTCCGAATTTCTATCTTAAACATAGCGAGCTTCAGTTTGTTACAAGAATGTAGTTACGCTGTTTTTGACGTTAGATGTCTAAATTTTTATGTGAACATGTAGTTTGATTAGACGAACAATAAGCAAACAAAAGTCAATTTTGAATTTTTCTGCATTTACATCCATTTGCATTTATGATGACGAAATATGGGTCTCAGTTGAATATTTCGAGGTGTTGGAAACGGAATAAAAAATTTAATACACTACACCGTGCACTGCTCTTGTCAAAATAAGATCTAGGTCTAGTATCCGTAATCACTAATATCGCTCAATTGCTAATTTTCTCTCTATAAAAAGTTTGTGTTGCTTCTAAATATTCCCCAATCTCCCAATTACCTTCACTATACATTTTATTTGGACCACATTAAGCCAAAAAATCTTTATTTGAAACCATGTTCTCCTAAAATCCCATTTACCAACTTGGTCATCAAAACTAGGTAATAATAACAACAACACACACACAAATCCAGAGAAGGTGTTAGCGGAAACAATAGAGAGAAAGATATACACCCGCCGCAAAAGAAAAAAACATGTCAAACATCTTTTGCGGCGGCATCAATGAGGAAGCGAACAAGAAAACAAAAAAAAACACAAATGGAAATGAAAATCTGCAGAAGGAAAACATTTAAGAATGGCCAAAGCAAAACAAAAACGTAAAAAAAGTGGAAAAACATTAAAGAACTGGTTTTGCTAACATTTCAAAACAAATGTTAGGAATTAACAGTATCTTATTTTTCTAAATTACTCTGTTAGACTGAACGTTAAAATTTCCTTTTTTGAAAAACAAAAACAACCACTTTCTTTTTGTGACTACCTCCATGCCGGCTTGTATTTGTCAGATATGGGAAATATTAACATTGTATCTGACGGGTTCTCTGTTAATAACATAGCCACTGTTGCTTTCCCATCGATGTTCTGTTGGGGGTTCACTGTTAAGTGTTTGATGGTGGTGTGTGCGTGTGTCTGTGTGCCTTGTGTATCTGTGTGTTTTGCCATTCAATTATGTGCTACTACGAATGAAATTTCCCTTCAGTTGTGTTTTGTCTGTGCTAGAGGAGAGACCGTTGCTTGTTCGTAACGCGGGCCGGTTTTGTAAGGGATTTTGTCGGGATTTCTTCGTCTCTTCGAGTTTTTACGTGTATGTGTGAGCCGTCACAAAATAGTGCGGAATTTCGCGAGGGTTATCTAGATTTACGTAAAATAACAACAAAAACAACGACGACAAATTACAATCACACACAACAACAACTAACCATCGACTAACTAATTATTAGAAAGAGAACTACGGGCATTGGAATAACAAAAATATCACTGTGGATTATAGAAACCTGCCTGTTAATTAATGTGGAAAAAATTACATATTCGGAAAAAATGTTATAAAAATTATTTGTGAATAATTTAATTAATTAAAAAATAAATATTGCAAAAATATATTCAACATTATGTCACCGAATTTTGGATATTATCAAAATATTATAACATCAACATCATCCATCACTACCGGATAAATTGTGCAAAAAGAAATCAAGTGAACAAAAAATAATTTTTGAAAAAATTCAAAAATTCATTAATGAAATAAAAATTCCAACGCTCAGTGTCACAAAAAAAAAATTTAGAGTGAACCAAGTCTTAGTCACACATAATATGCAAATTGCAATAAAACGTTTTTGCAAAACCAGAAATGTTTAATAACAAAGTTGTCACAAAAACAACAACAAATAATACCAAAGTTCAAAACAAGATAAAATCTTCATAATAGAAAAAATATAAAAATTCTATATTTAAAAAAAAAAATTCCAAACTAGTCTTTGAAATCCCAATTAAAAAAGTGTTACACATTTTGAAATCCCTATAACTCTCCTGCAAAAAAAAATTAAAAACAAATATTTTTTTAAATATTTTCATTTGTTATCTATATTAATAAACATATAAACAAAAACAAAAAATTTCACAATGTTGGCTGTTAAGAATTTCTTTTTACCTGAACGCACCAAAGCTCCGGATACCCCACAACGCTTCTCCCGCATGCCGGAAGCGTTTTTGCGCAGCATTCGCCGGCGTTCGTTGCGCGTTAAGCGCGCCAAAAGTCTAGTCGTTCCCGATCGGGAGAAAAGGAAATCAGGTGAGGTAGAGTGTTGTGAACAACGCCACAAAAGGATATAGAATATAAGAAAAAAATAAATATATATATACAAATAAAATATATAAAAAATTCAAATATTATTTTATATATTATTTTTATAAAAATTATAGAATATAAAAAAATTATGGAAAATATTACATACATATAAACACACACATATTTACTTATATATAAGTAAACAATGATTAGGAAAAAAATTAAAGATTTTTTAATTTTAATTTCTGAATTGGTGGGCTTTTCACCCCACTGTGCTACAATATAGAGGTTCACAGTCAACGGAAGAAATGTTCTATGTCAGATTTTGCTATAGGTTTCCTTTGATAAGAAATCGCTATCTATAATATATCTCAATAAAATATCGGGTCAAATATTTGATATATGTAAAATATGTGTTTTTTATTTATATTCATTGTGTTTCCCAGGTTTGGCCAATTTCTCCCATTATACTTCATTTCAGAGCCGAGCAGTCAATGAAAAATATATTCTACACAAAATTTCACTATAAGTTTTCATTTAGAAGAAATCGGTAACTGTGATATATATAAATTAAATAGCGAACCCAATATTGTGTATATATACATCATTTAATATTTTAATTAATTTTAAAGTGATTTCGAATTGTATCAATTTTAGCCACTGTGCTTAATTTTTGAGATCTGCAGTCAATGGAAAAAATATTCTACATAAAATTTCACTACAAGTTTCTATTTACAAGAATTCAATAGCTGTGATATATAGTCATGAAATATCGGGCCCAATATTGAGGGCCCGATATTTCAGGAAATTTGCGTCCCAATATTTGGTTACTTATGACTTTTTTGGGTATTTGATTAATTTTATTGCAATTCCGAATTTTCCAAATTTCACCTACTGTGCTTCATTTCTGAGGCTTCTAGACAATGGAAGAAATATTCTACATCGAATTTCACTATAATTCTCCATTTACAAAAAATCGGAAGCTTTACTACATAGTGATGAAATATCAGACCCAATATAGGTTCCGTATTGAAAAGCTTTGTTCTATTTATTTTTATAGTGTTTTATAATTTTGCCAATTTCTCCCACTGTACATAATTTTACAATGTTGATGTCAAGGAAAAAATATTCTTCATCAAATTTCACTATGGGTCTTAAGCCTTTTTTCGGGTATTTTATGCATTTTATTGCAATTCCGAATTTTGCAAATTTCACCTACTGTGCTTCATTTCTGAGGCTTTTAGTCAGTGGAAGAAATATATCTACATCGAATTTCACTATAAGTCTCCATTTACAAAAAATCGGTAGCTATAATATACCGAAAAATATACAAATATTTGATCTATATTAAAAATCGTTGTTGTATTATTTTATAGGGTTTTATGCATTTAGCCATTTTCTCCCACTGTACTTAATTTTAGAAGGTTGATTTTAATAGAAAAAATATTCTTCATCAAATTTCACTATCGGTCTTCAGCGAAAAGAAATCGCTAGCGATAATATATATAAATACCCCTTCCAAATTCTGCGCAAAAAAAAAATAAATTTTCTTTTTTGTTTATATTGTAATGCAAAAAACAGAGCATTTTGTTAAAATTTAGCAAAACCGTGCATAGTGTTCATTTAATGAGCCCATATATCCTGTTATTTTTGATTTTGGAGGGTCGATGTCAATGGAAGATATATTCTACATCGAATTTCACTATGGGTCTCCGAACAAACGAAATCGGTAGCTATAGTATAAAACTGATGAAATGGACATGTTAATATGTGTTGCAAAAAACAGTGAATTTCGGTGAAATTTAGCAAAATCGAGCATAGTGTTAATTTTATGGGCCCATATATCCTGTTATTTTTGGTTTTTGAGGGTCGATGTCAATGAAAGATATATTCTACATCGAATTTCACTATGGGCCTCCAAACAAAAGAAATCGATATCGATAGTTAATATCTACGAAACATAACCATTAATTTATAGTGTATAAAACAAGATTTTTTTATGGAATTTATCAAAACCGTGCCTGGAGGAGGTGGGAGGATGATCTCCTCCCTCCTGAATTCCCATTGCCATCTTCTTAGTTATTGAATATTTAATCCATAAAATATTTATTTCTAATCAATTCTCCTTTCACATTATTTTTATTATTATTTTATTCCCACATTAATAAATATTAAATTTCTTGTTGTCTAATGGCCTTTTGTTGTTGTTTTTTTTTCTTTTTCGGAAAAATTCTTGACAATTTATAAACAATTTTTATTAATAAATAAACTCAATTAGATTATGATATAAAATTTATTTTTTACAATGTCCCACCAGCCAGCCAATGTGTCCAGCCAGTCAGCCAATTATCATCTATTTGTCCTCCATCATCATCATTTTTTTGCTTCATATTCTCATCTCATCTTGTATGTATGAACTTTGTGTGTGCTCTGGTCATTCAGATGATTGTCATTTATCCGTTCATTCACGGAGTGAGTGTGAGCAAGAGAGTGAGAATGAAAGAATTTTCTTTTTGTATAGAAATAATGTGTATGGAGCCCCGTGTGGCTATCAAATATCTGACATTAAGTCTTGGCAACTACTTGACTTCAAATTATCATCAACATATTTTTTGAGATTTTTTTTTTTTTTTTTTTGTGAAAGACATTGGAGGGGGAGGTGAGTTTCCCTTTGGCCACTTAAGCTCAGTGCAATGTATATATGGGTCATTCCATGTGAAAATTTGGAATTTTTGAGATTTTAAATTAAATATTTATTTTAAAATTTTCCAAAAAATTTGTCTCAATATTTGTTTTTAATTTGAATAAAATATCTCTTTATTTTTTTCTTAGAAAATAATTTTAATTTTTCTTTGTCATCATTTTTCGAAAATATTTTTTGATATCGCCACAACCACCTCCATTTCCGCTTTCATAATTCCGATTTCTTTTTTCGTTCTTCTTAATTTTAATAAAAAAAATGCTTGGCAATAAAAAAAATTATCAAGATTTAGTTGAATTGGAATTTTGTCGATCTCCGCAATTATGAAAATTTCACTTTCAATTGTCATTTGAATTTCCTTCTTTGTCCAAAAAATATCATTGCATGCAATCTTAATATAGTCCATTCGTCAAGAGCGAGAGCTATATATATACCTAATAATAATTTATCAAATGACCATGACGTGTTTTCCTAGTTTTGAAACCTCCGTCATGATCATTGGCATAATAAGACCCCCAAAAAAGCATTACAGCAGCCAACAATGAAATGTGATTTTTTTTCTTTTCTGTGTGACTTCCCAACTCTTCATTTATCGTCGTTGGTTCGTTCAAATGTCACAAATGTAGGAGCATTGGCACAATCATTACAAAAAAAATAAATTATAAACAAACACACAACTAAATGTATGGCAAAAAACCCCAACTTCAATAACAATAAACTTTATAATGATGTTGGCTCTGTGCTCTGCTGCGGAATTACTTCGCCGCTAGTTGATGCTCGTTACAATGATTACACAAAAAACAAAACAAAGTTTTCAAAATACAAACTCAAAACAAAAAACATTTTACAAACAAAAAACCAACATCAAATTACTTAATTTTAGTTTTTTTATTCATGTTGATTTTTATTTGTCTTGCTTGTGAATTGTGTGTTTAACAAATAAAAGAAAACTAAATGAAGTGTTAAAATGATTTTGAAAGGAGAATATAATGATGTGGGTTAATAATGAAAATAAAACATGGAATTAACATCACAAATACACATAATTTTTGTTTAAACATTTTAAAATTTTGAAACATATTTGATTAAGTTTCATAATATTTTAGATATAGGAAGAAATTTATTAACATTTATTTTTTCCAAATTTTAAATGGTTAATTATCTTCCGAAGGCTCTAATTTCCGTTTTAAGTCCTATTTTCTAACTCTAAAAAATCGTCATATAAAACTTAAATCTTCCTCTTTCAATCTTGATATCAATATAGGTCAATGTTTATTTAAACATAACCTCTAAAATTAGGAATTCTGTAAATAACGAAAAAATAGATTATTTGTGAAATTTTGAGTAACTTATCCTCGGAACCATATCTTTATCAATAAAAATTATCTCATGTAGGTATAGTTTATTTTCGAAAAATACACTTCTTAACCTTTCAAACAATATATATTTTCCGGATATAACCCAAAAACTTTCCGAGTTATCGCCAATTTTACAACAAACCCAACATTTTTGGCATTGAAGCAATATTTTTTGGTCATAACCTTCTGGAGGTCATAACTTTTATTCCAACACATTTAATAATAAATTGCAAATAGAAGCTAAAACCTTTTCTTTCTTTAAGAATTTGTAACAATTTGCATATATGTTCATATAAACATAACCTCAAAAATAATATATAATCGAAATACCAAAAAAAGAATATTTTTTTGCATATTTGTGGGTAACATTGTATCTGAGGCTTTGTTGTTGTAAATACAAATTATTTATAATGAAAATGAATTAATTTCAAGAAGCAGACTTCCTTACCTTTCAAATCTTATAACTTTTTTCTTATATATTTATACAAACATAACCTCAAAAATGGCAAATGCCAGAGAAACTCAAAATATTAAGTTTCTGGGAAATTTTGCGTAACTTTATTTTATAGGTCATACTATTGCTATCACAGATTAATTATTCATATAATTAGTTATTTTCAAGAAGTAGATTTCCTTACCTTTTAAATGAGGTATATTTCGTGAAAATATCTCAAAAAATACCCAAGTTACGAAGCTTACAACACAAAACTCGAATTTGTGCATATTAAACATTTTTTTGAGCAATTACCTTCTTGGGATCATAACTTTTGAACTAAGAAACATTTCTAACTATTTCAAACTGCCAATTAAATGTAACAACTTCCATTTTGAGAATATATATGGATATTGTAACCTTACAATACTAATATAACCTCAAAAATGTAAATTGTTCAAGTTACAGGAAAAATTCAAAATTTGAAATTTTTTGGGTAACTTTGTTCTGT